TTATTTTACAGTTAAAATATATGTTTATTAAATAAAGTCTAATGTTACAACTAATCAGGGATCACTTAAAAAAAGAAAAGAAATTTCCTATCATATTCAACTTTAATTATCTTTGGAAGCTGTTTTTAGATCACAGAGGTGTTAGACTGAAATTTTATTTACCTGTGTGCATCTGTATTTTATTGACTTTTAACATCTAATTCAATGAAGTTATCCTGATAAATTTATATCTAATAGGATAACTTATTTTATATTGCTTTATTAGTTAAGACAAATCAGTGTATACTGCACAAGTCTTTTTATTGAAGTAATGTATCATGTTGGGTGTTTAATGATGATGTCGTTATTGTCACTGTACAGAGCACAATGACAATACATTTAAGAACACCCATTCAAGAAGACACACGTGACAAACATGGGGGAACAGGTGTACAGGTCATGCAGTAACCAGCAGGGGTCGCACTACCTTTAAGAAGAAAAATTAAATACCACACAAGGGTAGATGAGGAAAAAAATGTTTTTTAAACACAAGTTTTTACTGTGTTTTAAATTTCAGAAGGGTTTTTGACATAAAGATTATATAATTATATGCACACAGAAACAAGAAATCACAACTATGAATGTGTGTTTATGAACCACACATTCAGCTAACGAGCTGCTAAAGGAGGCATTCAGTTTTATCWCCTTTCACTTAAAACTTGTCAAATACACAATCCAACAACTCCAAAACAAGTTTACAGACAAGTTGCACTGATGCTAAATTTAGCTCGTTCATTTGAAGATAGCATAAACTTTACCTGGAGCTGTGATCATGTTAGACGTGTTCCCTCCATGGTCCACATGGCCTTCATCTTTACAGAATCCTAAGTATTTTCTTATAGCTGGATTTATTTTTTAGACAGGTGAAAAGTTTGGGGAACTCTGTTCTTCAGCCACAATCACACAACCTGCAGAGCTGAGAGTGCCGACAGGAAGTCTGCTGCCGCAGTGCGCAGGGGAGGGGTTGCAGGGGAGGGGTCGCAAGGGGAGCTCTGCAGTTACAAAAACTAGAGAAAAAATAAACAAAAAACACTCATACTGTAGGCACAGTATGACAGAAAAATGTAGTGGTTTTGAAACTTGATTTTTTCATATCACGGTATACAGTGGTGCCTTGAGTAACAAGTTTAATTTGTTCTGAGATGTAGCTCTTAACTCTAATTACTTGTATGTCAAACCAGTGTTCCCCATAGAAATGAATGGAAATGTCCTTAATCTGTTCCAGACCCCAAAAACACTGCTATTTTTTGTTACATGGTTTTATATCAGTAAAATCATTATGAATAACAAAAATAGAATAAAAATACAAAACAGAATGTATTTTCTGCAATGAACTACAGTAGTTTTATTAAGTAAGTACACTGTAAAAAATACAGCTTCAGTGTGGTGCAGACTGTGAAGTGCTGCACTCGTACTGCTTTGCTAAGTCGACTACACGCACACCTTTCTGGTGTTTTTCAGGCATTTCTTTCTTCAGTTCAATGCACATCATTCACTTCTTTTTCTCAGCGCCATCCTTTGCTCTCACCTTTTTTGGTCCCATAGTTGGCAAAAGCTGATTCGTGAAGTTTTATAAAAAATAACTGCGAGTGTAACACAAATGCTTTAACTACGAGCTAACTGGTTGAAGCCAACTGAGACGGTGAACACCTGTTGTGGCGGTCACTCCTGCGTTCGTGGCGCCATCTAGTGGTGGGGCGTGTGAAGTTCACTCATAACCCAAATTTTAGCTCTCAACTCAAAGCAAAAATCTATCTGAGAGACTGCTTGTATCTCAAAAAACTCGTTAGTTAGGACAGTCATAAGTCAAGGTAGCACTGTACCTTCAAACCAGTATTCAGTCCATGACTAGGTGTAGGCCTGCTGCTGGTGGTCCGGTCCAGGTTCAGCTCAAACAATGAGCTCAGCTGACATGAACTTACTGAAGACCAGGTGATTCCATCAATGGTTTGTTTCTTCCTTGATGGCATGGCCATGTTCCAACATGACAATGCCAGGATTCATGGGGCTCTTATTGTGAAAGAGTGGTTCAGACTCTTATTGTGAAAGAGTGGTTCCTGACTCTTAGTGTGAAAGAGTGGTTCAGACTCTTATTGTGAAAGAGTGGTTCAGGGTGTGTGACCTTGTTTGGCTCCAGGCAGTGTGTTTAATCAGACAGAATGTTTGTACAGGTACAGATGGTGATAGTTGTCCCTCATGTCTGCTCTGGTCCAGCCTCAGAGATGGAGGTGTTACAGGTGAGTGCTGCCACCATGCTGGAGGATGAGATCTCCTGGCTGGACAACTTTGAGCCCAGCTGGAGCTCTGAGATGGAGACCAGCGAGGCAGATAACATCCTGCTGGCAGGACATCTGCGACTCATCAAGACACTGCTGTCTCTCTGCGGCAGTGAGAAGGAACATCTGGGTGAGAGCAACACCTGCACACATGTTGGCTGTGGGGTAGACATTGTGCCAGCAGGAACTGGATCTGAATGTGCACAGTTTGAAGTTGAATGCATTGGTTTGAAAATAGCTCAGAGGAGCCCAAAGTGGGGCCCGCGGGCCAAATTTGGCCCGCCAAGCCATTTGATTTGGCCCACCAACAGTTGCCAAAGTTACAGTGTTGTAAGCTGTTATGTAGAAACACAGTATTTCCATTGGTCAGATGACTGTATAAAAGGGCTGTAGTGAAGGTAGTTTTTATTCATGGTGCTGACTTTATCTTTGATTTATTAGGATTAAACATGAAACGTGAAATGACAACAAGACATATTTAGATCAGATTTAACCTCACATGTAGATTTGCACACTTTATAAGGCCACAAAAACTCATATTTTATCAATTTATGAAATGTCCCATGAGCCTTTGCTACTGAGCGTATGGCAAACTAAAACAAAAGAGGGCCATTGCACAGCTTAATCATTAAAAATAAAGGACTTTACTTAAAAAGTATTTGTATTTCGTGTAATATATTACCGCATTTGGCCCGCAGCCCTGGATAGATTTTCATTTTGGCCTTCTCAAGGAAAATGTTTGGGCGCCACTGATATATCTCCAAGTCACAACATCCGTTGTCTCAGGACACTGTAGATAAAAAGAACAATGTAAAGAAGAAAGCAGCAGATTGTGTTGAATCACTTCATCACAGTCTCCCATCCTGAGCAAACYGTGGAGAGGAAAAACTCCCTGCTAATCAGGAAGAAACCTCCAGCAGAACCAGGCTCAGGACAGGAGACCATCTGCCTCGACCGGCTGGTTGGAGGACAGGAAAGAGACACAGACAAACACAGAAGAACTGGTCCAGGACTGGTCCAGGTGCACCTTCCTCTGGAAAAGAGACAAAGAAAAAACATGATAGAAATAATAACAATAAACATGTAGAGAAGAGAGACTAAAGACAACAGCAGAGTGAGGAAATGTGCTCAGTTTGTGCTCCAGCAGTCTAAGTCTATATCAGCAGAAATGAAGAATAATTCAGGAAACCTAAGTCTAACTATAGGATTTATGAAAAAGGAAAGTCTTCAGTCTAATTTTAAAAGTAGACAGAGTGTCAGCCTCACAGACATAAACTGGAAGTTGGTTCCACAAGAGAGGAGCTTGATAACTGAAAGCTCTGCCTCCCATTCTACTTTTAGAAACTCCAGGAACCACAAGTAAACCTGCAGTCTGAGAGTGAAGTGCTCTGTTAGGAAAGGATGGAACAATAAGATGTTTAATATATGATGGAGCTTGGTTGTTAACAGCTTTGTATGTTAGGAGGAATATTTTAAACTATTCTGAATTTGACAGGGAGCCAGTGGAGAGAAGCTAAAACTGGAGAAATATGATCTCTCCTTCCAACTCTCAGTAAAACTCTAGCAGCAGCATTTTGGATTAACTGAAGACTTCTTTTACTCAATTGAAACTGAATTTAAAGTTTTGTATCTGAATTAATTTTCTTTGAAACTGTATTTTGGTTGATTAAAAATTCAGTTTGACTACTTTCACTTTCAGATCCATAATTCAGATTTTTGTGTCACATCCTGGTCCTTGAGAAAGCCAGGCAGAGTAATCAAATGTAACATTTTCTACATATAGCTCAAATTAATCACTGCAATAAAATAACTTTGTTTTTGTCACTTTTACAGTGGATTGCATCAACTCTGTTACATCCAGAAGGGAAACTTCACCAAAGTGAAACATAAATCTGTGGATCTGTGTTTGATTACTCTGCCTGGCTTTCTCAAGGACCAGGATGTGACACAAACATCTGAATTATGGAACTGAAAGTGAAAGTAGTCAAACTGAATTTTTAATAAACCAAAATACAGTTTCAAAGAAAATTAATCCAGATACAAAACTTTAAATTTAGTGAAATTTATTTTCAAACCTTCAACTTCAAATTCTGCACATTCAAATTCAGATTCAAGCTTGATCCCATAGATCTGCTCCACAGCCTGCTGTGGATCTTTATTACTGACGGTCTTCTCATGGTCCCAGGTCCGTCTGTCATCCAGCAGTTGTTGGACGACTTCCTGTTTCGAGCATCTCGTATCATCATCAACAGCTCCAACGCCACTCCCTCTCCTGCACCGAGCCACGACTTCCACCCCAAGTAAGACTTCCTGTCATTTGGTTCTTCTTTACTGCAGCTCTGTGGTTTGCTGGACGTGTGTGTGTTGATAGAGCTGACAGTAGAAACGAGCTGTGTGTGTGTCCAGGTGCAGCACAGCCAGCAGCAGGCTGGCAGCCTATGAGGTGCTGGTGATGCTAGCAGACAGCTCTCTGTCCAACCTTCGCCTCATCACCAAGGAGTTACTGTCCATGCACCACCAGTCTGATCCATCCCTGTCCAAGGAGTTTGATGTAAGAGCTTCACCACAAGCCTGTGTGTCCTTGTTTTGTGATGTTTTGGTTGTAAACACCTGTGTGTGTTGTCAGTATTTACCTCCTGTGGAGAGCCGGTCGGTGTCAGGCTTCGTAGGCTTGAAGAACGGTGGAGCCACGTGTTACATGAACGCTGTGTTCCAGCAGCTGTATATGCAGCCTGGCCTTCCTGAGGTGCACAGTGTGTTCATCTTTAACTTCACAACATGTGTTGTTTGACTACACACCTCCATTCAAACTGTCACTGTGTTTCTTTACAGGCTTTCCTGTTGATTGAGGACGACATCGACCAGCCTGAGGAAAGTGTCTTCTACCAGGTGCAGTCTTTGTTTGGTCACCTGATGGAGAGCAAGCTGCAGTACTACGTGCCTGAGAACTTCTGGAAGGTAACACACTGATGACGTGGAAACACACAAACTACTGAGGAGACTTTCCTGCAGCTGTGTGTGTCAGATCAGTGGTTCACTTTTAACACCTTTGGTTTCCATTTCTACAAGACCATGCATGACACCCCCCCTGCTTTCTGTTATTTGTGATTTAGGTTGTTTTTTGTTTGTTTTTTATTGTTGCTGTTGTTCTAAAAAACAAAAAAGAAAACACACATCAATACACACTGTGTATGGATCAATACACACTGTATGGATCAATACACACTGTGTAACAAAGGGTATTTTATCAGCTTGTCTTCTGAAGATGCTCTGTGTTGAAGGATCTGTGGATCTGTGTTCGACTACTCCACCTAGGCTGCATTTTTGAGCTCAGATCCACTGAGAAACGTAATGTTATGCARATAACTACTGTTCCCTGAAGGAAAGGAACGAGGTACAACATCATGTATGGAAACCACGCTCCTGTGTGTCCTGGCTGAAGCCACCTCTAATCACACCTTCAGGCAGGTGATGTGATGACGACAGATGTCAGGCTCCGCCTGCACATATAAATACTGTCGCATCACCGTCACTCCTCAGTTCAGTAACTGCTCTTCACCGAGCCCAGCTGTGCAGCGGGGCCACCATGTGT